GGTACTGGGGATTGAAATCAGGCTTTCTTATTGAGCGACCTTTGCAGCCCTTTATTTTTTATTTTTGAAGCAGTCTTGTTAAGTTGCCCAGGTTATGTTCAAACTTGTGATCCTTCTGCCTCCGTGTTGCAGAGTGCCAGGATTACAGGGGTGCACCACCACACCTAGCCAACTCATCCTTTATTTTCCTTTCTTCTGTGTCTTATCAGTTAAGAAATGGTGAAAGCGAACAGGTTTCACATGCATAGGCATGAGTGGCCTTATGATGCTTAACACTAATATATGATTTTTAGGCATAGATTTCCCCAGAGTGACACTTCATAGCCCAACATCACATGCATCCACAATTTATAAACAGTTTTAAGGGGTTCATGAACTTATCAAAGTTAGTTAAAAGTTCTTGTTCTACTGGTATTACTAGTTAATCTATAACTGTAATGTATAATCAAGAGCTACATGGAAGTCTGATGAAGAAAGTCCCATTTAGATGATGCTTTACCTGGATGAATCCATTTATTTAATTCTCCTAGTTAGTTATAAGAACTACTTTTGATTAGATCTGCAAGCCTACTGATATTTCTGCAATTTAAAAAATTAGTCTCTTTTGATTTAAAAGTGTCTTTAAGTGTTACTTGAAATTAAAAATAAATATAATATGGTGACTGAAATTGAATTAAAATACTGGTAATACTGGTAGTTTTACAAAAAGAAAAGAAAAAACCTATCAGCTCAGGGCCTTTGCACTGAGCTACATCCTTTGTAGTTTTAGATTGCCCAGACTGGGGTTGAACTTTTGATCCTCTTTCCTCAGCCTCCCAGAGTGCTTTGCGTATATGCATGTACCTCCCCTCCTGGCTTGAATATATCTACTATTTTAAAGTGTAGCCCTCTCTGACCTTTTCCAGATGAGAGTTACAGAGTTATGCATATACTTGTTAATATTAAGAAGGAAAAGGAATTCATATATTAAAATGCATGTGAAAAATATATGTAGGACCATATTTTAACTTGGTAATGAGAAAATAATTTGGTATTGTATTTAACAGTTACCACAGTTTAATTGGACATAGAGGTGCACCCCTGTAATCCCAGCTTTCTCCAAGCTGAGACATGAAGATTGCTGAGAGTTCAAGGCCAGCCTGAATTACAGAATGAGACTGTCTCAAAAGTAACAACAGCAACAAAAAATTACCATAGCTTAATTTAGGTTTTTGTAAATTTATATTTTTTATTTAGATTAAAATATTTGTAATATAAAAGATTATTTAAGATAAAAAGTTGTGACTAGAGTTATAAAACATTTGGATAAAAAAATTTAGAGTATCCTTTTATTAACCTCCTAGAAACAGGGCTAACTGTAGAAGACAGGTCCCTATGTCCCCTCCCAACCCCCCCACCCCCCACGCCTGGCCAAAAAGATGTTTCTGGGAAAGAAGGAAAATGGCTTAGAAATAATTTTTTATATCTCAGTGTCATTCGTGTTATAAAAATTTATTTTTTAAGTACTTAAAAAGAGTTGTTGCTCATTGAATAGGTAATTTAATATTTCACTAGATTTTAATGAAATTAGGATGATATTTATTCCCTATTCAGTAGATATACAGTGATCAGGCTATATTAAAATATTTTTAATAACTTATTTTTAATAATTTTAAGGAGCAGTAGCATAAGAGAATAAGATTGCTATTAGAAGCAAACTTTTTTTTTTTTTTAAATGCTAGGGATACCATGCTAGGCACTTTAAATATGTGGTTTTAATATTTTCTTATACCCTATAAGTTAAATATTAGCTCTATTTGACATATGAGGGATCTGAGGCCCATTGAGATTAAGTAACTTGTTCAAGATTATGTACTGACTGTAAAGAAACTAGTACTTTTTTTTAAGAAGTCAATTTTTAAAAAAGAAGCTACTGTTTAAATCCAGGTCTTATCCAAAGCCCATGTTTCTCTCTCTCTGTAGCATGTTGTCTTTTACCTTAGATGGTCTGATGATTGCCTTATAGGTAAATTTGCACTGTTAATCATATCCTAATACATTTTTTATTTGGCCAAATTATATGTTGTAATATTTATAATAGCTTGAAATATTTCTGAGTTTTGTGTTACACCATTTCCATATGAAAAAATTATTGTTTAATTGCTTCATCTCACTTGTTTGTTCATAGTGCCATTTGATTTTTAGCTCTACTTTCCCTGAATGTAGATTTTATTAATTTATTGAAGTTCAGTTGTATTTATTCTCAATTAAATATCTTGATGAATTTGCCACTTAAAGAGCCTACTAGAAAAATTTTTATTAGAGATATTGTTACTTTTACTGAATCTGTTGGCATCAGAAGCAAAACACATTAAAAGAGATTAAGGAAGCTAAAGATGAAAGGATTTATTTGGTTGCTATTTCTAGTTGGAACTGAAGAAGTGTAACCTGGTGTATATTATTACATATGTCTTTATGTTTATTACTTTCATTGGATATGTATCTTGTGAATTCATTGACCTTTTCTATATATCTCTGAAACCATATTTTTTCATTCTAAAATTACTTAATTCTTATATGTTGGAAATTGAAGATTATAATGTTAATCTGCATCATTGAAAATATCAAAGCTGTAATCAGTTTATCTTTGGTGTAGTCTTTAATGAAGATGAATTTTGAGGAATTTTATGTGTATTCCAAATAAACTCATTTGAATCCTAGTTTTAATATCAAAAATCTTTAATTAGGCATGGATTAAGTATGATTATATTTATGCATAGGTATTAAAGAGGATGTTTCAATATTTTAAAAATATAATAATTTAAGAGATTAAATTTCTAGGTATGTTTGGATATTTTTGTTGTGTGCTCAATGTGTACTTTTGTCAGTCTTGTCTTCCACCTTTCATCCATCATTTTACTTTTTTTTCTGCTTTCTAATGGAGATGCTAAAATTTGAGGTAATGTGTACTGGAAGGCTTTTTAATATTAATATTATCCCTAATAAACCACTTTCTATATGACAGTTCTGTGTTTTAAGGCAATCTCAACTTCAGACATGCTCATTTTTGTTTTGTTAATGGAAAAAGTTTTCTATTACTTTTAAATGATTGTTTTCTAATAATGGTAGAATATTAAAACAATAACTGTGACCCTAAAGTACCAGCAGAATATTAGTTTTGAAATACCATTCCTGAATTATTTTTAAATTTCAAGGTTTTAGTAAAAAATTCATTCAGTAGCATAGCATCAGGAAAATTCAGACTATAGTGTCTAATATATTACTACTGTAAAAATATGAATTAATCCTTGGAAGTATAATCACACCTCCTTTAGAGAGTATTTTTTGAGTGAGTACTAAATGGCAAGAACTATTTTAAGCGTGGGAAATACAACACTGACTAAGACAGTGCCTGCTTTCTTTTCTTTTTTTTTTTTTTTTTTTTTTTTG